CTCGTTTTGGTCAGATTTCTTCAGGATTTGTAATCAAGCATCCGAATTCCTGGAAACTGTGACGTTATTTCTTCATGTTGGAGCGTAGTGCATGCTGGGATACGCAGAGAAGAGGAACTGCAGTTCGTACACGTAAAAATCGAGTAATAATACCATGAAAACGTCCAAATCGGCATTAAAAATACACGTCTGACTTCACATGGAGTAAAAACACTTCAAAAATACATGACTTTGGTAATCGATCACGACTGACGAAAACCGAAGGAAAAAAAATTAACAGTTTTCCTGTAAGGTGCTGCAGTTTCCTGCCACAAGGTGGCAGCGGCGAGCGTCTCTGTTTAGGTTCACAGGTCAGAGGTCACGTGGACACTGGAACCCAAATCCACTGCGTCTGCGGCGGAGAGAGAAGAACCGGTCAAACGTGTGGAGTTTTTAAATGTTTTTGAAACTCTTCTGCTCACCGAGGCTGCGTTTATATGATGAAAAAAACTAAAATAAAACTAAAAAAAACAGTAAATTAAATATTGCATGTATATGTATACAATTTGACAATTGCTTAATAATGAAAGGCAAATAAAATCCCAGTCAAACAAATATGTTTTAATTACACTATTTTATTTTATTTTGCTTCGCTATTAATTAAAAATTGCATCATTAATACAAAATTAAATATCATATGTAAATGTATGCATTTTGACAGTTTACTTGAATTAGTGAATAACGAAAGGGAAATATCTGACGTCACATGAATCCGGCTCTCGTTTTGGTCTGATTTAAACAGGATTTTCCACTCGGGTTTGTAATCAAGCATCCGAATTCCTGGAAACTGTGACGTGATGGCTTCATGTTGGAGCGCAGTGCATGCTGGGATACGTAGAGAAGAGGAACTGCAGTTCGTACACGTAAAAATCGAGTAATAATACCATGAAAACGTCCGAATCGACATTAAAAATACACAACGTCTGACTTCACATGGAGTAAAAACACTTCAAAAATACATGACTTTGGTAATCGATCACGACTGACGAAAACCGAAGGAAAAAAGTAAACGGACTTCCTGTAAGGTGCTGCAGTTTCCTGCCACAAGGTGGCAGCGGTGAGCGTCTCTGTTTAGGGTCACAGGTCAGAGGTCACGTGGATACTGATGGTGGGCGAGCGCTGCCGGTGCTGGTGGGCGGGGCTTAAGTGTTCCAAATAAGCCACGCCCCCATCGTCCGCCTCCGCGACGTGATTGGCTGTGGGGCTGGAGGCGAGGACACTGCTGACCTGCTCGAAGGAGCGTGAGAAGACGGCGCTAGCGGTGCGCGACAGACTCAGCGAGCCACTCTTGGTCAGCGTCAAGCGCTTGAGCGACAGCAGCTCCAGGTTCTCGCTCATGGCGCGGACGGTGGCCTGTTTGCGCGACAGCTGCTCCACGCCGGTCGCCGCGTCCTTGTCTTTGCTGGAGCGGCCTGTCAGGCGGCGCAGACCCTTCCCGCCCGGTTTCCCGCCGCCGCCGCCGCTGCTGCTGATGACGAGGACGGTGGCCTGTTTGCGCGACAGCTGCTCCACGCCGGTCGCCGCGTCCTTGTCTTTGCTGGAGCGGCCTGTCAGGCGGCGCAGACCCTTCCCGCCCGGTTTCCCGCCGCTGCTGCTGATGACGATGGTCGGCGGGCTGCTCGGAGCGGCGCACGCTTGTGTGCAGATACCCTCGTCCACCTCCACGATCTCCGTCAGCTCATCCGGGGAACCCAAATCCACTGCGTCTGCGGCGGAGAGAGAGGGAACAACGGGACGTTTTCAAATGCTTTTGAAAGACGTCTCTTCTGCTCACAGAGGCTGCGTTTATACGATTAAAAATACAGTAAAAACAGCAAAATTGTGAAATATTATTATAATTTAAAATAGCTGTTTTCTATGTGAATATATGTGACCCTGGAGCACAAAAGCAGTCTTAAGTCGCTGGGGTATATTTGTATCAATAGCCAACAATACATTGTATGGGTCAAAATTATACATTTTTCTTTTATGCCAAAAATCATTAGGATATTAAGTAAAGATCATGTTCCATGAAGATATTTTGTACATTTCCTACCGTAAATATATTAAAACTTAATTTTTGATTAGTAATATGCATTGCTAAGAACTTCATTTGGACAACTTTAAAGATGATTTTCTCAATATTTAGATTTTTTTGCTCCCTCAGATTCCAGATTTTCAAATAGTTGTATCTCGGCCAAATATTGTCCTATCCTAACAAACCATACATCAATGGAAAGATTATTTATTCAGCTTTCAGATGATGTATAAATCTCAATTTAAAAAAACTGACCCTTATGACTGGTCCAGGGTCACATCTGTTAAACTGTAATTTATTTCTGTGCTGCAAAGCTGAATTTCCAGCATCATTACTCCAGTCGTCAGTGTCACATGATCTTCAGAAATCCTTCTATATGTTTTTGTGGACAATTTCTTTTAACAAAAAAATGAAAATGATTAAAAGTGACAGTAAAGACATTTATAATGTTACAAGATATTTCCATTTCAAATAAATGCTGTGAAATCTGTGAATCCTGAAAAATAAAATGCATCACGGTTTCCACAAAAATATTGAGCAGCACGACTGTTTTCAACATTGATAATAATCAGAAATGTTTCTTGAGCAGCAAATCAGCATATTAGAATGATTTCTGAAGATCATGTGACACTGAAGACTGGAGTAATGATGCTGAAAATACAGCTGCGCATCACAGCAATCAATTACATTTTAACAGATATTCAACATAGAAAACAGTTATTTTAAATAGTAATCATATTTCACTGTTTTTACAGCTACCACTGTATTTGATCAAATAATTGCAGCTGTGGAAAGCAGAAGAATCTTTCAGAAGCATTAAAAAAATCTTATTACAAACTTTTGACCAGTAGTGTATATTATATTATTATATTGTAGGTTGAATCTCACAAAAATATCCAGGACACATTTAATCACAAAAATCAAAAGAAAAAACACATTAAAAAGAATTAGTGTTATCTAATTCCACCAGATTTTCCATTTGGGTTTTGTAATCAAGTATCTAATTAAAAAAAAAAAGCACTTCCTAGATAATTTAAACACTAACATATGTGTTATATTTTCATATTATATATGTTATACTATTATTACATTATAGGTTGAATCTTACAAAGAAATATCCAGGCTGTATTTTTCCACTTTTGCGATAATCTACTGATTTTCTTCTTAAATTACAACAATTTAAGTTTGGATAGTGCACCTGCATGCCTATTTAAAAAAATGGGGGGTGACAGTTAAAGGGTTAAAGCACTAGTTCTTGGTGATCTGCTGTGATCTGCTGTGCTGACGGCTCTATCAGACGCATCACTTCCTGTCAGTCGGTCTCATATAAAGGGAGGTCGCTTCCCAACCCAGTGGAGAAGTGTGGGGAGAGGAGGACTCGTGAACGGCGTTTCTGAAAGCAGCAAACGTGAGACGGATTTAACGCCGCAGCTCGCTTCTGTGAGTTCAGCAGGTCTGACTGGATGAGAAGCAGAAGTATGGAGTGAGGCGAGTGCCACAGGAACAGACGTGAGAGAGCTAGACTGAACACGAGTCCAGGGTCAATCGCAGGAGACTGTTAATAACATCCACACAGGAATATCCCCCGCTTCAGCAGAAGCTCTATCCACCACATAATCACAATAAAACATTTGGATTTGTTCCCAAGTAAAAATAAATCAGTAAAATCTAAATAATAATGATATCTAATATCTACAACATACTGTATATATATATATATATATATATATAAAAA